AAGTTCTCATCATCTTCTTCTTCTTCTCTTTCTTTATTATTATTACTACTACTACTACTATTATTATTATTATTGTTATTGTCATTGTTGTTATTATTATTGTTACTATTATTATTGTTGTTGTTTTTATTATTATTGTTGTTATACTATTGTCATTTATAATTTGTACAATTAACCTCCCTGTGGTTCAACCCCGGTCTTGCCGGGTTATTTATTATTTCGACACTCCTGCACTTGGGAGAAGACATCAATCTTTTAGTCGTGTCACCTACCTTGTACGTAAGCATTGTTAGTGACCTTCATTATCTCTCATTCACTCGGCCTGATATTGCTTTCGTTGTTCATCGTGTTAGCAAATTCATCCATCAACCGAAATAGTCCCACTGGATATGTGTAAAGAGAATCCTGTGTTATCTCAAACACTCCATCTCCTACTGCTTACTATTGTCTTGCAACAGCTCCTCCACATTTCAAGCACTCTTTGATGCAGATTGGGCAGGGGACATAGATGATCGTCACTCTGTTGGTGCCTACTGGTGTTTCTTGGCTCAAATTTAATTTTCTGGCATAGCAAACAATAGGCTACAGTTGCTCGTAGTAGTACCGAGGTTGAATACAAGGCTCTTGTAAACACTGCAACTGAACTCCAATGGTTACAATATTTAGCTGCAGAAATTGGTTTGCACTTATCTCAAAGTCCCACTCTTTGATGTGATAATAATGGCGCCATGTATTTATCCTCCAATCCGATGTTTCATCCATGCACAAAGCACATCGAGATTGATTTTCACTTTGTCGGAGATCTTGTTCCTCAAAAAAAAAATAATTCAATTTTCTATCTAGTCGTGGTCAGATAGTCAATGTCCTTACAAAACCATTCTTTACTACTTAGTTCAATTTTCTATCCTCCAATCTTAACATTCGCAACCTCCCGTTTAGATTACGGGGACGTGTTGAAGATATTATCAAATCTATTAAAGATAATACTGATATTGAAGATAAACATGATCGGAGATTACTATCATGATCAGGGATCACTGATACTAAAGATAATCGTGATCTCTGATTATATCTGCATAAGAGATTATCATTGATACTGAAGATAATCATGATCAGTGATTATTGATACTAAAGATAATATTATATCTATTAAAGATAATACTAATACTGAAAATAATGGTATTCATATCTGCAACAGATATTCTAAGAATTAAATTTATATCTTATCATTCAGTGCATTTTTAATGATAGGATTTTTTAATTAGGATTGTAATATATATAAAACCATGGTGTAACAGTAAAAATTAATTCAAGCAAATATATTTATGTAATACTTCTGCACATATTGCTCTCTATATTTTTTTATCTTTCAAAAAGGTACTTTATATGAATTTAGTAATTGATGTTGTAATTATTATGGATTTATGCTATAAGTGAACATCTTTTTATTAATATTAAAAAATTCACCCACAAGTGGTGAAGGGAATGGACTCGGTGGGAGGTTTTGGATCTCGTTTAGAAAGTGTTTTGTAATTATATACAAGACTAAAAAACAGAAAAAGGAGAGAGATGTTGCCATGGATGTCCCAGTAGCCATTCGCCTTGTTTCTGAAAGGTGTGCTGTGCTATGCTGTGTCGTGATAAATCTATAGATTGATTTATAAAGAAGTAGTTTACTTAATAATTGAGTGGAACTCTTCGACTTTCAAGCTTGCCACCATTCTAAAACGGAACGAGGACAAAAACTGAGTGAATAAAATAGCAAGGTGCTGGAAAGATTGCAGACTTGTAGCAGGCAGAAAAGGACGTCTAAAACAAAAACAAAAAAGATGATAGCAAAAGCATAACAGATGCTAAATCAACAGAGTCTAATGGCCATTTCGGAAAGTAACAAGGCAAATTCAGCAATTGCTCGGTAATTATGCTCTAGTAGCATCTCAGATTAAAATGCAAATTCTTAGCTGCACAACATCAACAAAGCATTAAAAGTAATGGGGGGACTTGAAAGGTGTGTTCATGAATAAATCGATAAATACGAATCTAAACGTAAAACATAATGTATCAAATTGATACAAATAGATATAATATTTAATTTAATCAGACATAATATTTAATATTTAATACAAATGGTTTTTTATGCCCAAATTAAACTTAAAAAAAGGTTGTCGTTTCGGAAATTTCTTTATTTTTCTTTATTATTATAGGATTTTTTACTTGATTAGGTTTGAAATATTTATTTAATTTGTATTTTATTAGCTATGTTAGTTTAGCTTATTTTTTAAAACAATCTTGCAAATTATTAATATTCAAAACCTGTTAAATTAGAATTCTCTTTACAGCTTACTTGTAAATTTAGAGTTTACTAGTGAATTGCTTGCGCACTACCATGAGAAGATTTTCGGTAATGTTATTAAGCCCATCAAAACTCCTTGGGTTATCATAATGATTAATCAATTTGATCTTTAAATGGGGCTGAATTTTAAAATAAACAATAAGAAAATTCACTTAATTGGCCTGGTTTGTCGCCCGCACTAATGATTTAATTAATCTGGCCAGAACATAATTTTTTTTTTTTAAGGAGTGACAAGGATTTAGATTTTTTTTTTAAAAGAAAAAAAACTGCTTATAATGTTTTATCATATTGCATATTCACAACACCCAAATTTCCTAATGTCGTGCCCTGGTTGCATACATGTACAATCGTGCAAATTGACTGCCATACATAAAGTAGCAAATCAATGCAGGCAGGATAGATGACACGTGACTGCTATTCTTTCCATTAGAAGTTAAATGGGAGGCAGTATCACAACTCCAGCTGTCTGAAATCGTAGATATGATTATTTTTTATTTAAAAATATATTAAAATAATTTTTTTATTTTTAAAAAATTATTGTTAGTATTAATATATTAAAAAAATTAAATATTAATTTAAATAAATTAAAAATATTTTAATTTTTTTAAAAAATAAATTTATGAAACTCAAAAACAAATAAAAGCTATTACTTCTTAGTTGAGGGTGCTTGGGAGTATTTAATTTTTAATTATAAATTTATGAAAAAAATATTTTAAAATATTTTATTTTTAATATTAATATATTAAAATTATATAAAAATATAAAAACATAATTTTAATAAAAATAAAATTTTAATAAAAAATAAATGATACTAGATCTAAATATTTTAGATTTACTTGAAGTAAAGTGAGGTTAGATTTTCTATGCAGTACGATCGCTTTTGAAACACAAATAACAAGAAAAACCACACCTCACTGAAAATTAAAAACACAAACTCTTTATTGATTTTATTTTTTTTTAAATCCCACAAACAAACCAAACCTTATCTTACCTCACTAAATTCCAAAAGTCACCCTACAAAGTTTAGGTTATGTAGGCCGCATAACCTATGTGTAGCGTCACATCAAGATGTCAAACAAAAGTCATCCAAGAATATGCGGTTTATATTTGAGAAAGATGTGTAAGCATACGTGGGCGTGCCCTACATATAGCTTCTAGTGGTTTTGCCTTCGGAAGGGTGAATCCGGGACTCTCGGTCATGTCCACCATTTTATCACCAATCTTCTGCCACTCGAAACATTGAAGGAGCGAGCCCAATGCTAATCCCACCACTCTCAGGGCCAAGCCTTCTCCAGGACAGCTCCTCCTTCCATGCCCGAAAGGCATCAACTTAAACTCGTCTCGTCCCCCCTCTGGGTTGTCGAACCTCTCAGGTCTGAATTTTGTAGGGTCCGGCCAGATTTTAGGGTCATTTTGAATGGCCCACATATTTACAGAGAGCATCGTGCCACGTGGAATGCGGAATCCTCCAACCAGACATTCTTCTGATGACTCATGAGGTACTAGTAACGGAGCAGGCGGGTACATCCGTAACGTTTCATTCAGGATGCTGCGGAGGTAAGGAAGTTGGGCAAGATCAGCTTCATCCATCAAACGATCATGCCCAATATGCTCGTCGATTTCTCTTTGAGCCTTCTCGAGAACTTCGGGATGGTTAAGCAAAAGTGAAAGTGCCCATTCCATTGTAGTAGATGAAGTGTCTGTTCCCGCCAATAAGAGCACCTACACGCCAAACCAAATTGTGGTAATTAATTCCACAGACGATGCAGGTGCTGTAACTTGACACGGCAACTCTAATAGTGGAGATATACTACTGCTTGTAGAAATAAATAAATAAAAACACGATGCAAAAAGAAAGTCACCAAAGTGACCTCTCCTACACCCTGGTCAGTTCAATGCACCTCGGTTGTATCCTGTGACTTGAATATTCTAATACACAAGTTTTGCTATTGCGCATTGTCATTTTCTTGACAAAAGCAAGATCCAAAGACAAAATAATGAACATTAATTTAACAATCCTGAATTATAACCTAAACATTAAAGCATTATGATATCACTACTCAATTTATCATAATTATCAGTAAGCCAAACAACATGATTAAAGATCTTACCAGCACAATCCCTTTGATGATATCGTCCGTGTAATACTCAGGTTCAGTTTCTTGCAGAGAAAGCAGAACCTGAATCAGATTCTTTTTCTTTTCGCCACAACAATCACTCTCCAATATTTTTCTCCGTTGCTCTTCTATCAAGTACTGCATGAAACTATCCCTCTTTATATGGCACTCTATCATTCTCTTCTCCATCTTTTTTGATTTAATCCACGGTATGTAGTCTCCAATAATGGTTTTCCCACCTATCAAGAAGGTTTCAGCATGAATTGCTCGAAACTTTTTTGCTTCTTCCATATCTGAAACATTCTCTCCATAATATCTCTTTCCAGCTATCATCCGCATCATGATGTTCAGTGTCAGTTCGAAGAAAACAGTTTTCATATCTACAGTATGCTTCTGATTACGAAAGAGAACACAAATCATTGACTTCACCTCCTCCAGACGTATGGCAGAAAGCATTTGGAGGCGGTATGCAGACAAGACTTCAATAGAGACGATCCTCCTAAGGTTTCGCCAGTGGTCGCCATAGGGTGCCCAAGCAAGGCTTGTGGAGTTGTAGGCAAGATGCTTTGCAATGAGCAAACGTGGGCGGTTAGCAAAGACAACATCATTTTTGGTAAAGCATTCCTCAGCTATTGAAGGGGATGAAACAACAAGCAGTCGACGAGATCCCAGCTGGAGCAACAATACAGGGCCATGTTTGCTAGAGATTTCTGATAGTGTCCTGTAAATTGGCTTCCTCAGTAGGTAGAGATGGCCAATGATTGGTAGTGAAGGAAATGGACCAGGAGGGAAGTTTTTTATCTTGTCAAGGAAGTGCCTTGTTATGGCATACAACGCTAAAATCACAAGAAAGTAGAGAATCAAGGTTGCCATGGATTTGTGGACGGCCACTGTCCTTGTTTTTTAGGAAGGTGTATGAATTATATTGCGCTTTGTATCGAATCTATCCAGATACCTGTTACTTAGTACTTGTAGTCATTCTAATCCAAGAAATTCTCGAAAGTCGTCCATGCCTGTCTTATCTCATCAATTGAAAAAGGGCGCTATGGACGTGATGAGGTCAGTGCAAACGCATTAGTGGTGAACTAGTAACATGCACAGTTTTTAAGACCTTTTAAATATACTTGTCTGATTGATATGAAAGGCATTTTTTAAAAAAGAATTAATATATAATATAATCTTAATTAAATTGATTTTAAAATATCATTTAATATCAAATAAAAAATATTAGAAGATAAGCTATCACGAGCTGCGACTTTTGCCAGGTTCTGAACTCTAGGTGAAATGCGATAAAAACAATGGCCTAAAAATGTTTTTTTTTTAAATAATTTTTTTATTTTAACTTAGTATTTTTTTATGTTTTTAAATCATTATATTACTATTACAAATAATTTTTTAAAATAAAAAATATATTATTTTAATATATTTTTAAATAAAAAATATTTTAAAATATAATTATTAGCAGGGACACCCCCGTTGTATAATACTTTAAATTACCGAGAGTAGTTGCGACGTAATTTTCAGAGATGGAAAATGTGAGGGCCGTGGACTCAACTTACAACATAAGTCCAACAATCAAAGTTGCCAAGTATGAATTTCACTAAATCCTTGTCGAGTGATACGTAGTATTTCAGATATTTTTTCAAAATAATAATAATCATGAATGTGAAATCATACTGCAGAACATATTTTTCAAATATTAAAATATTAATATATTAAGTAATATATTTTAAAAAAAAAAGTAAAATATCAGATTAATCTGAAATAAATCTAATTAATTTTTAAAATTTATTATCTAAGTTGTATGATTATAATAATTTTGTAGAAAATAAATTAACATATTATTCAACTCCATCCAATAAAATGTTTAACATTGGAAGTTAAAAAAAAATCAATCTAAAAAATTTAATAAATCTAAATAAACATATCATGATGTGAGTTATAAGATTAAAATTAAAACACTAGTTCTTAAACCCATTGACAACTAATGAAAATTTAAAAAGAACAAAAAAATAATAATTCTAGTTACTTTATTAAACTAACTACTTAAATCAATTCATCAAGATAACTTTATAAAATATAATTTGAAAAAAAAAAAAAAAAAGAAGTTAAGCGAATCCTCGGCACAGTGTAAAAAAGTAATTTCATTGATGTATAATTTTTTTAAAAAAAATTCTTTGATTCTATTTAAATGAAGTTTTTTTTAAAAATAAAAATAAAGCAAAGCCCTCTAAAAAGAAGTTCGGGAGTCTGGCCTGATGGACACCAATAACCATGGCTGTGTAAACCAACTGTCCAGTCTAGCATGTTGATTCAGAAAACTGAAATTTAGAATCCGATTCAGACAGGTTTTATAGTTTAGTTATACAAGACAAGACTGCATTTTTATAGAGGATTTTTCTGAGGTTTCGCCAGTAGTCCCGGCGAGGAGGTCAAGCAAGGTTTGTAAAGCACCTTGCTTGCAGGGCCATGTTGACGAACAAATTTGGACAAGAGTCCAGTAAATTGACTTCTGATGGAGGGAGAGATGGCGGAGACTGGTGGGGGAGGGAACGGACGAGGTGGGGGAGGGAGGTTTCGGAATGAAGACAAAAAACTGAGTGAATAAAATAGCAAGATGCTAGAAAGATAGCAGGCGGAAAGCGACAGCTAAAAAGACAAAAATTATTATAGCAAAAACATAATAGCATTTCCCATTCTCAAGGGAGGTGATATCTCTTAATAATTGTGCTAAATAATGAATCTGTCCAAAATGTTGTCGGTAAGCTCTTAAATCTCTGAAGCATAAAATATTTTTGCTTTGTTTTGATTTAAGAATCTAAATTATTTTTTACTGATGAATCATTTGCTGATTGTTTACATGGCAGTAGGTGCAATATGAGCTAGTACATGAAAAAAAAAAAAGAAGGGTTGATGATCTTCGAGCTGATTATAAATCTTTGCACTGCATATACATCTAACAAGGTTCTGTGAATTAACTTCTAATAGATTCAGAAATGGATCGGCAAATTTGTGTTCTTAGCCGGTACAGGAGTTTCAAATGTTTAGTTTTTCGGTTTGAGATAGTGAGATGCTCGAGTGAAAGTTAAAATTATTTTTTAAAATATTTTTTTATTTTAAAAATTTTATTTTTAATATCAAAATATTATAAAAATTCTAATTTAAAAAAAATATATTTCAATAAAAAACAGGTTGTCTCAGCAGAATCAATATGGATATTATAGAATAATTCGAAGTTAGAAATTTCAAACACGTGGAATGATAAAGAAAAGGTCTCCTCGAGAATTTTCTTTTCGTAGAGGCGTGTTGTTGGTTTCTAGGATCAGGTTGCTATCAATTTATGCACTAGTTGTTTAACCATTGAATCTGTTTTCATCGTGTTCTTAAAAATTTTATTTTTTTTATTAAAAATAAAATTTTTATATTTTAAATAATTTTAATTTATTAATCTTAAAAATATTTTTAAAAAATATAAAAATATTTTAAAAAACAATCATAACAATATACAACCACACCGAGAGAAACTCAGATTTTGCTTTTTGCACTGGTTACCGATCATTGATTTTCCTCATTTCCATGTATATTCCAGCAGCAAATTTGGACGATACTGCTTGGATAAGGGAACGCAAACCATGAATCATGTCTAGCAGATTGTTTTTGTGGCACAGCCGCATTTTTAAAGACATTTAATTTTTTTTCTTAAAATTATTTTTGTGTGTTTTTTTGATAATATAAAAAACAAAATAAATATTATTTTAATATATTTTTTTAAAAAAAATATTTTAAAAAATAACCACTGTAAACACTACCCAAAATATTTAGATTTCAGGGATGTCGGGGCTTCTGTCATATTAAGTAACTTTAATGCTGGTTAAAATTGCAGGCAGCTTAGTTTAGCACAATCCAATTTGATCATGTTGTTCTATTCCTCCTGCACCTATTTACAAATTATTATTATTAAGAGAGTTTACAATTTAAGCACCTATTTACAAATTATTATTATTATTATTATTATTAAGAGAGTTTACAATTTTAAATGGCGATGATTGATATCCAGTCACATATCATTTGGATAGAGTTGCTAAAAGCATCTGGTATAGGCACTGATTTTTCTAGATAATAACCCATATAATTAGTAAAGGTGTCAAAAAATAACTTTGCAAGTAGACGACTTTAAACCCAGCCTGCCTGCTCTGATAAAGCAAGGAGACACAAGAGGTAGGGTCATGCCACCGCGCTGTAATAGCTAAAAACAAGAAATGGTAGGCTGAGAGTGCTTTCTTTCTTTGGCAGATTATGTGTAAGCTGTTTGATAAAGAAAAAAAATAGTATTTACTGTTTATAAACCCCATTATTTACTGTATTTGCAATGCAAGGGGAAAGAAGCAGCTCCAAGCTTGCCTTTTCTTCTTCTTTCAGTAATAAGAGGGTTCAACTTCTTCCTTTTCTTCTATAATTTTATGTTTTCACTGTTTACATAAACAGTGGAGATATAAAAATATAAAAAAAGAAAAAAAATGAGGAGTAAAAAATAAAAATAGTTAATTTTATCATTCAACTCCAACACCAAGTAGACATTGAGAGGAAAAGAGGCATAACATAGAAATAATTAGAAAAATGCTAAGCTTTAATCTTTATTTCCTCCTGCTTTGCTTTTAGCAACATTACACTGTTTAAATAAATTTTTATTTATTTGAACAGTGTAGCAACACGCATGCTGCTTTACCTTGCTAGGTCACCGGTATGGGTTTGTGACCAGGTTGGGTTGGTTGGGTTTAGCCTAGTCCATATGAGCTGGATTGGATCCGATCTAAATATAAATGCATTCACTCAGTCATCTCAAACCTAAATACATTGAATTAGATGTGACCTAATAAAAAAAATTATTTTTTTTATAAATATTATGTTTTATTTGAAAAATTAATATTTAACATGATTCAATGGCACTAAATAATTATATTTGAAGAAAATTGTATGATAACGTAACATTTACAGAATTTGATCAAAATTTCAGTTTTATTCCTGATAATATTTTACCTGATATTGCACGCTTAGAAAACCATATAAACTGTACTACTTGTTAGATAGATTTCATATGTGATGAAATTGTATATAGTTTAATGCAACAATAAAATATAATTTATATAAAATATGGTTTATTTTATGATGTAATAGGAGTAATTAAACCGATAATATTTCAATAAAAAACCACCCATATTAATACATGTCTCTTTTAATTATTTTATAATCTCAGTTTAAAAAATATTATCTAACCAAATATATTAAACTACTTTCTGTTCAATCTTAATTTCAACTACAGTTTTAACCAGATATATATTTTTTAAAACCAACTTCAACTAATAATATTTTTTATAAAACAATTTATTTTTAAACCATAACCACAATAATTATTACAATACCAAATATATTTATATATCTATAGTTAATTGGGTTAATTCCATTTTTATGAATAAGATAACGGGCTTGCAAGATCGTTCAACTTCTTCTTCTTTTATAATTTCATGTCTCCATTATTTACATAAACAGTAAAAATAAAACATAAATAAGGAGTTAAAAAAAAAAAGGTTAATTTTATCATCTAACTCTATCACCAAGCAGACATCAAGAGGAAAAAAAACAGAACATAGAAATAATTAGAAAAATGATGAGCTTTAATCTTCATTCCCTCCTGCTTTGTTTTTTGCAATATTAAATTATTCAAGTAATTTTTTATTTATTTAAATAGTGTAGCAGCACGCGTGCTACTCTGCTTTACCAGGTCACTGGCATGAGCTTGTGACCAGGTTGGATTGGTTGGGTTTAGCCTAGCCTATATGGATTGGACCAGATCTGATTCAAATATAAATGCATTGACCCAAGTCATCCCAGATCTAAATACATTGAATTAGGTATGACCCGATAAAATAAAAAAAATTTAATTTTTTTATAAATATTATGTTTTATTTGAAAAAT